ACCCATACAAATTTTTAATCTATTGACACATGTCTAAGTAGGAAGTGAGTAAAATTGCTGTACCCATAGAATTTTGAATCTTATTTTTGACCACATGTCTGAAAATAAATTGTTATAATATGATTAACAATTAAATTTAAATGTTTGAATAATATTTTTTTTCAAAATTTCAATTTATAGAACTAAGTTTTTTATTTCTTGTTTTTGGCAATCTTTTTAGTTCCTCCAGATTTGATTATTAATTTATATATCAAAAATTTTTATATTATTTTTTAATTATATGATCCAAAAATATGAATAATTTATTAATTAATTTTTTTCCTAATCATGAACTAGAATTAAAATCTAATTAATACTGATTTGAATAACCCAATTCTCTTAACAAAAAATTTTGAATATGCGTAAAATAATATACAAATACATTTTTAGAATTGTTTCGGAACTGTAAAAAATAAATCTGATAAATAAGTATATTAAGTAACAAAATTTTATCGATTTAAGTTATAGAATTTATGTAATTAATTTGAATATAAAATTAAGGAATTCAAGTTAAACTTGAAGGTAATTTGATTATATATAAATATTACCAACTTTTTTATCCTAAAATTTTTCTTGTTATTATTACCTGTGAAAAATTTAAACACTATCTAAAGCATGTCCAAGACCCGCCGCATCATTTCTTCAATATACTCAATTTAGCTTGAAATGCAAGTGAAAAAATTTCGGTAAACTATTACATTTAATTGGAAGTCTTTATGCTAAGTGAAAAAATTCGGTAAACTATACATTAAATTGAAGTCTTTTCTTTTACAAAATGAATAACAAAATTTTATAAAAGTTATAAAATTTATAATTTTTTTATACTGCTTTGAAACTATAAGTTGATAGATAATCACAAAAATTAAATTATGAGTATCAAAATAATTTTAAAATGTTGTTTAGATAATTAAGCTTTCTAGAAGAAAATATTTTATTTTAGAGGAAAATTGAATAAATTTTTTATTTTAATTGTTTATTAAAAGGATAATTAATATCTTTATTATTATTGAATGATTTATATGTGTTTAATAATAAATAAAATAATAACTAAGAAGATATATGAATAATAAATGATGACCTGTTTTATAGGTAGCAAGTTATTAAATATTTTTTAAATCTAACAATTCACAATAAATTTATTTAAATCTAATGGAAATAGAAATGGATGTTTCTCCATAGATACAGAATTTTAACTTTCTGTACTATAGTATTATCCCAAAAACAATTCACTTTTAGGAAGTATTACAAAAATATTGCTAATTGGGATATTATTTTGTGAATATTACAAAATATTAGTTGAAAATATTATAAAATATTACAAAATATTAGAAAGAATATTGCTTTGTAAACTATCAACTTTTACTAAAAAAAAAGGTCTATATTTTAGAGAATAGTTGAAAATATTATAAAATATTAGCAATTAGAGTTATTATTTTATATAATACCGTAATTAAAAAAACAGTTATATTTTATAAATTATGAGAAAATATTCTAAAATATAGGCAATTAAAGCTATTAATATGGTGCTGCTTGATTCTATTTTCCCATATTTATGATATTAATTTAAACTATTGATTTGAGTTAAATCAATAACTTTCTTAAAAAAATAATAACTTTTTATAAATTATTAAACAATATTACAAAAGCATTATCAATAATTGCTATTATTTGCCAATCAGGTGTGGTTAGATTAATTTTTCTACAGATGTAGGGAGTATGTCGTCACGTTACTTTAAAAAATCCTTTTTTTTTTTTAAATCATATTCAGTTTTTAACTTCCAATTAATTCATATTCCGTTTAAATGATCCACCTTTTAAGTAATTCTGTGGCTGTAATTTACTAGTTTATAATTATCCTATGAATTGACCGATTTTGACTGTAATTTATTCTTTTTCTTGATTACACCTGGTTATTTGGGATAAACGAATTCTACAAAATGTCATAGAAATAAAAATGTAAATAAAAATTAAAAGTTTAAACTTTACAAAATTCAATTATATTTTTAAATATAATTCAATCACAAAATTCACTTTTAACCACTATTTAAACGGTTAACATCTAATAACTAATAACTACTAAAATAACTAATAACTATTAAAATAGCTAACAACTACTAGAACAGCTAGTATTGCTGAACAGGCACAAAAACTGTGTATTATTAAAAGTAGACAGTAGAAATAAAAATTTGAGAGCACAATGTAAAGTAAAAATAAAATAAATCGAATACAATAAATTTAATAATTTTAAAAAAATGGAAAATATTTATATTATTAAAAATATACGTAATTTTAAATATCATATTTTATTTAACAATCATTTATTTTTCTTAATAAACTAAAGCGTTTATATAACTAATAATTTCCTAAAATATTACCTTAAAACTCAACAACTCAAATAGCTTCTAAACCTAATAATTTCTAAAATATTACCGTTAAAAACTGCAACAACTCAAGAATAGCTTCTAAAACAATTATTTATGAAGATTTTTTTAAAAAAAGTATGTAATGTTAATATAGTTTTAGCATGATTAATCAAATTTCTATCATTTTACATATTATACTATCAATTCTATCATTTTTTAAACGAATATAATTTTTTCACTTTTTTTACTATATTTTCAACTTTTTAAGAAAAAAAATTTGGCGCACCGGCGATTGTTGTTGTTTTCTGAAGATAGGTCACGTGATTAACATAATCACGTGTTGCTCAAGCGGTAAGGTTTTTAGGTGCAAGACCCATCAACAGTTGAATTGTCAATAAAGATTAAATTATTAACCTTTTTTTGGGAAATTTTCTGTGGCGTAAATGACAGAACAGAGAGTGACATAAATTTTTTAAATTTATTTACTATTGTACTTATAATAAATTGAGCTTACTTTTTATTATATCTCATTTACATAGTTTGTATTTAATTAATTTTAAATATAAAATATTTTTATGTAATATAAATATGAAAATTACAAACTTTATGAAAGATGAAGTATAATAAAATAATAATAATGTTGAGAAGCGGAAAACCTGATAACTGTTTTAACTGGTAATTTGGAATTGTTCCCATGTCAGTTTTTTCCAATTTCTTTGTTTAAAAAACTTTATAAATTAATTTCTTGCCGTAGAAAATT